ACTTGGTGGTGTCAGATGATTATTTGGAGGCTGTAAGGCTGAAGTGAGCAGCATGTTGAATATTGATTCAATTCGTAGTTAAACAGCTGTAGGTGACACTATTTAGCATGGGCTTATTTTAGCTGATGGCCTCAAGGTAATGTGTTGGTGGATGAATTTTAACTGACGAAATATACCCATTTATTCATTAACAAGAACAAGGCATATACAGTGAAGAAATATTTCTTTCCAACTGAAATATTTCTTCGCTGATATATGCCTTGCTCTTGCTAATGAATGAATTTTAAAAGATAAGCTAGTTTGTAGCAGAATCATAACCAGTGATCTTTGATAATTTATGGAAATACAATACCGAACAGAGGTTCTTGCAGGCCACTTTCTACGACACCTTCAAATTAAATGTTAAGCTTCTTAAAGCTTCGTAAAGAGCAAATTTGTAACACGATAATCAGTCCCATGGGTACATTAGGTTCTCTCTAAGGCGAAACATTTATCAGTTTTAAAGTGGAATCAATTAAAAGGTGTGCCTACTGTATTCATTGACACTACTTGTTGTTTCAGTGAAGGTAAGTTTATATGCAGGTAATCATTGCACACAAATTTTCTTCGGTGAATGCATCACTCAGCCAATGAATAAGCTGATGAAATATTAAGTGACATGTACAAGATTTTGTTGAGGGAAATTTCAAATTTTCATGTGTGTTTATTAAGAACAGCTGGCTTGAAATCAATTACACAACTTTTCATCATCGTAAGTATTGTGTTTCTAGTTGCATTAACTTTATTTATCCACAAATCGTGAATCACTGTTGATTTTGCGATTTCTAACCTAGTCGTATATGTATTTAACCCTCTAGTAGCTTGGTAACACTTTTAGTCTAGTGGGAGCAACCATGACTTTCTGGGAAGCGTAGATCCGTTCCACTGTTATGTGTAAGGGTGTCAACGTGAAGGAACTGCAAGCGACACAATTCGGTGGTACTCAGTACCTGCGTCTACCTCGTGAATGCCAAGGTTGCCATGTGTATAACGGATTGCAGGTCATTCTAGTCATGCACTACAGTGGGTCTCCTGGTGACTGCACTGGAAATCAACCAGTACACAATTGAGATAACTTAGTGAAAATCCCGAATGACGAAAGCCATATGCTCCATATCAGTAACACAGTTCCAAGAAGTATAGAGGGTTTTGATGGCAGTTAAGATTTTGCCGACTGCATTGGTTGTAGTGCGACCAAAATGTAAGATGAATCCAGTTCTCTAATTTTGACGGTCCTTTTGTTAAAGCATTTCTAGGAGATTAGGTGTACTCTGATTTCTGAAGGTGATCAATATTAGTTCCGGAATGTCAGAGTCGTCGTATCCTCAGCTTTATATCAGTAACTTAAATTGGGCCATCGCTATGAGTCTGTTGAGATTAAGAATTCATTGGTCAATTATCCTAGAAGAATGTCTTTTCAGAAAGCTGCGCTACATTTAGTCTGTTGGGGCATGGAAACTTAAGTGGGACATATCCCACGCATATTTTCCCACTGGATGGTGACGGAAGTCAATAGACCAATTAATAAGTGAATATGAATGTGCTGTTTGGATATGTCCTGCTCGAAGAATGAAGTGACTTCAAGATGCATTGCCTCATTTAAGCACATCGATGTAGTCAGACTACTTTCTTTGAGATTCAGTAGTCAAACGATATTGGTAGTGTTTCCATGCAAATATGACGTACAATGACTGGTAGAACAGGCATTCGATATTCTCAGGCTCTGGTAGAGCTTCATTTTGGTTGTTGAAGTAGGGACACCAACCTGGATTTTGATATGCATAACTCCAATCCATAGTTGATGTAGTTACCGTCAGCAGCAGTTATCAATTTTTTCATTGAATGAAAGATACCTGACAGCGTGTAAATTTGCATACCAAAGATATTAATCGTGGTGAATTCCTGATCAAGCATACAAAAGTATACCGAAAAGAAAAATGGAATGATTTCTTTCGAAAATTGGCAGGGAAATAGAAGCATCAGTGCGTGAAAATACTGTTTCTAATGTTATGTTCACTTTTATAGGTTCCAAAGAATCAATTGAATTGAAAAGGCATGGACATATTTACGCATGTCAGCTAATGAACATGTGTGGATTGAAGAAAGCCTGACGGTCGATGTATATGCACAACATAGCGAACTCGTACTGAAAATATAAAATGATCAAATAAGAATTTCATCTATTCATGTGAGGTTAGTTTCAGGAATAAGGTGACTGGTGAGCAGTTTGAAGCTGCATGGAAGACATATGTGGGAGACTCAGCCAAGGCCTGTTGAGCAGAATATACCAAGCGATCCAGTAAGAAATAACACGACAGCTTTCCTTTAACGCTTACCTGTGTGCGACTGACTGCATCTGTTTTCACTTGATTCACTACAAAGCAGTTCACGTTGAGGCATGTTTGTGCTCCTTTGTTTCCAGATGCCAAACTTCCCACTGTCGTGTTATTTCTCACTGGATCACTTGGCATATTCTACTCAAGAGCCCTTGGCTGAGTTTCCCACATATGTCCTCTTTCTGATGCTAGATCCTATAGAAAAAATACAATCGTTTCGTGACAACTAACTCTGTCGAATCTCAGTCAGACGAGAATTTCATCAGAATGTGAAGAGAGTGAGGATAACCTACATTTGAAATAGATCTTTACTTTACAGTAAATACCATCACAACAGCTCCTTGATAACCCATGCTATTTGGAGTTCATCGTAGCTTGTGGCATGAAGATTTTCAGCAGTAATCTGCCTGGCAACTTATTGGTTGACATTGCTCCGAAGATGCATGGAAGTAAGATGTGCGATTCGTTGACATATTCAGCCAATGGAATTTGAACAAGATGGTTAGTATATGGTACTTAAATGATGATGAATGAGGTGGATCAAACTGCAGATATTTTATGAGGTAAGACTTGAATAATACTATTTCTGTGATCCCATGTACCACTTAGATATATCGCAGTTTGAAAACTTCCTTATGCAAGACCGGGTAAACTTCTCAGTTTGTTTTGTGCAAATTCTTTCTCTTGGGTTTTTCTTAAAATGTAACAAAATTACTCACTGGATTTATTGGCTTTTCGAACAGTTTATTGGTCACATTCACATGGGAGGTATGTAAAACAACAAGTGGCTGTGTTCTCAACCACATTCAGTGAACTGCCCAATTTCATTATGAGAAACACCTTTACCTTGGAGTGTTGGTTTCACTCAAACATTTAGTCACTATGACATGAAATCTAATTAGGATTATGTGACTGACAAAAGCTGAATTTCAGGCTTCTAGTCAGCTGCGCTATCTACAAGTGGAGAGTCATTGGATATTCCACCACTGATGTGAATTGGAAAATAGATCGGCCACTAAGAACTGGTAAACGTTATTGCCTTTAGTCCTAATTTCTTACTGAATCATATTCATCACATGTACAATGTGGTTGACAAGGTAGAAACCTGTGCATCATATTACATTTCGACTGATTAAACTACTTGTGATCTGTGAGTCAAAGCTTGTATGTTCCTTCACAGAATACTGAAGTCTCTCCGAACCATTTTCATATTCATTACTTCTCACCTATTGCGAATATCACAAAAAGGTCATCGAATGTCTGATCAATGACCATGTGAAAGTCACATTAATTCCCCTCAAGATATTTCCAGGGTTAATATTCTGTATTTCCACGGATGGTGTGGACAGCAGAGTTCAAAAAACCAAAACATCAATTGATTTTATACGCAACGACTACTACAACCGTATTCATGACATTACTGCAAACATACACACAATGGATTCTATTGACACCTCGCAAACACAAGGAATTACTTGTCACCATTTTACAAATAATGACATGACGAAAGAGCAGCATTCCAACCATATCATGTTTGATGCCTTATTATCCTAGGTAATACAAGAAGAATAGATTTCCGATTATTCAGATTTTTGTGAGAGGTAAGTGAGTATTGACCTTTTGTTGACTGAGATATAAATAACAACTGAAAATGCAAACTGATGACAGTGAAACACATCCGATATAAAGTGTCCTGTGTACTCGTCTGCTACAAGCCTGATAGAAGAAGGAATATTGGGTGACGGTGAGAATCACTGCACTGAGAGGAACACACATGACAATACCTACCATTTCATTGGGAAGAAGCATTAAGTGAGAAGTAGATGGCTAGTTTCTCAGATCAATTCAGTGAAATATTCCAGGTTGGTATTCATCATGTATTGACATCATTTGGAGAATAATCTGAAGACTGACAGCACTAGACAGCCATTTTGTCCTTGTATTGAACTCAGTACGCATCCACGAATCGGCCAAGGATTGAAATCAGGATCTTCAGCACCTTGCCATTGAGCTTTAACAGTTCATGATATAGCGATGTTCGACTGGTCACGACTTCTCATTACAATCTTAGAAATCAACACTTGAGGATAGATAGTCCTTGATGAGTATCAAACAGAAATCCATAAAATCCTCACAAGCCTGCAAACTGAATCAACAAGACATGTCACTCATTAATAAAGCTTAATAACCACACACAGTTGGCGGTCAACTCATATTTATTGCTCTGAGAATTTTGTCCGAATAAACATAAACTTCTGATGGGGGACTAGCATTTTAGCCCATTGATTATTCTACATCATCAGTATCAGTATTGTTTTCGCAACAATGATATAAGCCGAATATATCTTGAGTGTTTATACTACAACTTCTTTATCCGAGTTTGAAAAACGGAATATATATATGCATATGAATTCTGTGTTGTTGCATTTTAGGCTGTTTCGAGAAGCATTTTGAGACCATAAGGACGGAGAAACAAAATGTCTAATTCGTTGAAATGTAAGCGTGGAAATGCTGACTGTTGATTATCCTAGTGAAATATGTAAGAGAATCTATTCCAGTGAGGAGAGTCACGGAACTGGCTCGTCGGGTAAGACGAGAGTTAATTAGTTGAATATCCCTAAACAGGTTGTTGTTCTACTGATTGTAGAAACGATTATTTCAGTGACCGCAGGCTTCACCGTGCTTCAATTGTATGCTTGTTGTTTATTTTCACCCCAGAACTATAACCTCATGATTTTGTTTAGACCTATAATCCGGTAAGAGGTACATCTATTTCGCTGGAGTCCATTGGTTCTAATGTAAGTTTGAAAGATCATCGTATGTTCATCATGAATTTCCTTCGAAATGCATAAATGGCTATCGTTAGACATTGCATAATCAAGCCTGAATTTCTATGTTTGTTGGCTCTCTGCCACATACCTCAACTGGCTTGATAAGTGACATACATTTGATGTGGAAGATGTTGAAGTCAGAGGCCACTCGCACCTACATTATTGTCAACAACTTGAAGTCGACTCCAGTGTGGTAAAGTACCACAATGAATGTCATATAAACCTAGAAGTGTCATCCAATCCTTCCTCCACTTATCCTACTTATGAAGATGATGTATATTCTCACTCCAAAATACAAACTGCAACCGATAAATTGTTTGCAGAAATGCATAAATAATTTCATATTTTCTCATCTTAATAACCTACTGCACTTAGTTGACAGCCACTCATCAAACTTTCCACAACTAGGTGCTATGCAGTTTCAAATGCAGTGTCATTCACACTGTCACCATGTTGTAGATAAAAGATGCAAGGAATCACTCAACACCACAGAAAATAAGTTCCTAATTGCAATGCCTTAAGCAAATCATTTCATCAAATCAAAAGTGTTCATTCTATCCATCATTATAACTGAAGTCAATCTCAGTATTTGACTTTCACAAACACCACTTTCTCCCTTTCTTATGTAGATCATTTGGAATATTGCTTGGTCTCTCACTGGTGCTGATCAAGCCTTTTCAACATAGGAAGCCACTCAATTTCTTCATGTTGTTCACAACTGTAAGCAATGAATACCTTGCTATTCCATGCAGTCGTAAATAGTTTATCTCTTGTTCTGATTCACACTAGTACATATCATGATGTATCTCTCAGAATGCTCCAAATATCTTACCTTCGAAAAGCGTTCACAGTAATCTTTCCTAACAAATCAAATCCTTCTTAACTTCATTTTCAATCTAGGTGACAATATTATCTATGGGACTGGGACTACTTTTCACAGATGCAGATGCAGTGGAAATGTTGGTTTCCTGGATAATCACACTTCTCATCAGTGGACTGTTCTTCATCATCGGATTCATTGGCAGATTCGATATCACACAAAGAGCAACGTGGTATTTGATCTACGTTGTGACCACTTATTCTGTTGGTACAATTGGAGCGATAATGCTTTTCATTCTGAAGAAGAGAAGTGTAAGTTTACTGTGCCTAACAATAATGTGAAAGAGAATTTGGAATGAAGCACGTCGATTTCATTTCTGTTACTGATGTGTTTTTCAGTAATCTCGATCAATACTCCCCAATGAATATCTTTCAGATAATGAGGGGATAAGGTTGTGAACATAATTTCACAAGTGTGGTTGAGCTTATCGACATCTAGACGCGAATACTTGTTCATACATTCTATCTCTAGCTAATGATCCTGAGCTGTTTTTGTAGCGCAATAGTGAGGATGACACTCAAAAGATAAATAACTTCTGTCTGTGAAAGCAAGAGAATCACCCACAACTTATCTTCAAAATCGACCAACAAGAGGTTGGTAATGTTACCCTATATGCTTCCAGAAAATCATGTCATTCAATATATGCACTAGGCGGAGGATCCATATGCTCTCCTCACGAAGAAGACTGGTCAGACACAATATACTTGCAATACAGTCCTATTAGCCAAATTTGTTTGAATTGAACGACGATAATCGTAGTACTGCTGCGATAAGCTCCGATAAGTAGTGTATGATCATGAACAAGTTTTTTTAGTAATGTTCTCTCGTTTTCATTTTTTCATTCTATTTCAGGTAGCGCTTCTGTTGCAAGGTGTTTCGGCTGTTTCAGGATTCGCCCCAGTAAGCAAAGTTATTGTGTTTTATAAATGTATCCTTTCGAAATCTAGGCGTTCAGAGATGTACAGCTGAAATCACCAATGCATCACTCCCCATACATATGCGACTGATGGTGTTTGAAAGAAATTTGTGTTATGCCGTAACATTTTAATATTCTGTGTAGCAGTCCATCTAATGAACAAAGCATAGGTGTACTCCTACTCAGGCTTTTTTCACGTCTTGACAATAAACTCTCCGTATCTCCGAAATAATGATAATTTTGCATTGAGGGTATCTAGTGACAATAATGTTGTCTGGAAATAGAAGGAAGGAAGCACTGGCATTTACACCAAACAACTCATAAAAAGCTACACTGCCAAGGCTACTCACTTTCCTACAATGCTAATCTTTATCAGGCAGTTTGATAATACAAACCATATTAAATCACCAATTATTCCAATTTAAAGTAAGTGCGCAAACCGATAATTGACGACTGCAGAGTAGTAAGATTTTATTAGTATAGGATATTTCGGTTATTGAGTAGCTGTGATTTCTATTAGTCTTTGAAGTGAAATGGACAGCGGGTCCTAAACTTCATCCATGCTACCCGAAATGTCATCCTGGTTCATGAGGTTATTAGGCAAAGCGAAGAAAGCTTCTAAAATTTTCAGTGAACGAAATACGCTGAAAAGATTATTTTCCCGCAACAATTCTCTTCTTGGTCTTAGTACGGTGGATACATGATTGTTTTGCACCAGTCACACTTGAGCATTTAAATGGCAGACTGGAATAGGCAGTATATTTCAACGCAGAGCAGTAGACAATGTTAAGACTCATGATTTGTCTCGTAAGGGGCAATTGTAACAGATGAATAAACTACTTACAATCTGGAAAACTTTCAGAACCTTCCAGAATTTCTAGCAATTTCTTTTTCAGGAAGGCGGAGTAGAAATATGAATATGAGATACATGAACACATAGAAATCTGGAGCAATTCAGCATCGAGAAAAAGTCATTATTAGCAGTCACTGAATTCTAACATACAAACATAAGACGGCATCCAGCATGATTATGAAACTCAACACAACACGCCTTGGATGATGCATACCAATCATGTCAACAATTTTGTACATATTCAGACGTTGCAATACACCGGTTATCTTACGACCATTACTATTTACTGCTTAAATAGACGACTATGAATGGTGAAGTCTGTAGGTTATTGTTCAAGTGTCCACTCTCATATATGTATATGTAACCAGATCATACCAATTACAAATCACAAAATTCTGCACATACACCTCTTGGATGGTGCACATTTACCGTGCCAACAATTTCTGTTATTGTTACTCCGAAATGACCATGTTGCATCATATTTGTGGTCCGAAATTCATGGCTTGATAAAATGTCGGAGTCTCAATTCGTATTCACACTCTATTAGGATACTGAATTGGGAGGAATACAATAATGAAATATCTCTCTACTATTGAACATCAATGAAGTTCTAGGCAATACAATAGGCCTCGATGTCAACACTGAATGAATTTCAAAGACTTAGATACCGGAAAGCATTTCAAGATCACCGATAACACATTCACTCAGATAGGAGTGAATATTCAATGATGTCTGCTATTTACAGCAAACTGGTTCAATTGTCAAATGCAAGCGAAATGAACCAATAATGCGAAAAAGCTGATGAGAGTAGGCTTTATTCTATGCGCATCATCTGTTTTGATGAAGGAGTTGAATCATTTGTTAGCTGCTGTTTATTGGAGTATACCATGATTAATTTTAAGAAAAAAACAATTTGCCAAATGTTTTACCATCAGCAGAGCTAAATTATAGAATTGATCGATGTTTTGTAATGCTTCATACGACACGTTATGACTATGCTGGTAAATAAGTAAGTCTATCCAACACAAAAGCTTATCGTTGTATATAATTTCATCTGAGGAAGCTAACATTTAGGGAATGATAGGCCATATATTTGAAGTAACATAAAAGCACTACATCTCAATGCTGACAACAGTTTTAACATTTTGACTATATGAAAATATTGATTAGCAGTTTTCTGCAATCTCTGTACAAATCTCGACCTGCATAAAGTCCTATAATGCAGAAGTGTAAAACATACTGCACAAATGCTAACGGTGACCAGATGGATAATTAAGACGAATCTTTTGAAAGTAATACAAAAGAAAGTGGCGAATACCTAGTCAAAGGTCTAAAAATAGATTTCATTCAGTGTGTTGAAAAATAAATATGAGATTATTAGGTTGTATAATATACAAATGGTCTCTATTGCATATCATCTCAGGTGTTTGCACTTCTGTGTACTTCACAAAATTTGATAATAATAACTACATGATGATAACTATCTGGACAGTAAGTATTTCCACCAGTGACAAACTGCGATTAAGGACACTTCTTACATTCTTCCAAAATCAAAACTTCTCGTGATCCCATTCCGTCTACTCACCATCAACATGAAGTCTCCCTTTTTCAATCTGCTTATAATAAGTGTCAAACAATGAAACAGTATCATCTACTGGATTAAGTTTCGGACACAATCCATTATCTATAGTCATCTCAAGACACCCCTGAACTTTGAGACAAAGTTTATATAATCCTAATTTCCTCTCCTTCTTTGTGATGACAAGGATAGTATAATTTTTCACATATCTGTAGGATCATTTCTATTGTATGACTTTGGCGTTGATTCGATAAACAAGGATTCGGTTGTCAATCTCTCCCTCCACCCAACTAAGTTGGTATTTAATGCTGTCACTCTGTCCTACCCTATTGCGTGATTGTGTGTAATTCCATGCCAACCTTTTTTATAAATTTCCCATCTTATTAGGATCCACTAGACTCGATCTGGCTAATATTTTGTCTTCTCTCATTCTAATTACCCTGATCGACTAATTTCATCTATATATTTAACCTTACAATCATTGCAGGAGATTTAGTAGACCAGATTATTTTGCTTAATTGCATCAATAGGGTCTTTTAACCTTGGTTCTAAGCGAATTTTTTGGTTTAAATGTCACTTTAATTTCAGCCTTATTGAGAACTCTTCGTAATGCTTCTGAGGTGGCTCCTTTGTATAGTAACACAGAAGAGACTCTGAATCCTCTCTCAACCCTGTCACCATTACTAATATTACTATTAATATTTGTCCATTAGGTTCCTAATGGAACATAGGGATCCAGTAGCAAGTCTACAGTGCGCCCTCTTCTCTGAAATCTTCTGGACCTGGCTCCACGACAGACCAGAACCTCTCATTTCTTCCTCAAACGATCTCACCCATGTCACCCTCCACTCGGACGCCCAACTCATCACTTCCCATCTCGGCCCAACTCGAGGGCCGGGCTTGACGCGTGATGTCTCGTATCAGCCTTCTCAGTGTATGCACAATCCAGTCCATCTCCACTTCCTTCTGCATATTTGTTGAGCGATAGGTTACTGCTTGGTTGGTTCGTTGCCAGCCAGCCAACCAGCCAGAGTTCCTTGTTGCTTATTCTGACTATTCTGGCCATCTGATCTCCAGTATTGAGCCGGAGTAGGCAGTTGATGATGAATGTCTGCAGTTTGTTGGAAATGCTTTTCGTAACATGCCAAGTCTCTGAGCCATACAGAAGCACTGACTTGACTGGATCGGTGTTGAAAATCCGGATCTTGTTCATACTGCATGCGGAGTGCAGAAGATCTCCACACTGGTTTCTGGCTAATGAACACCTATCTTGCTGTCTTTCCGAACCTGGCTGGCTTTCACGTCCACGTCTGTGCCGCCATGTTGTTGAAACAGTGCTACCTAGATAGGTGAAGGAGGCTACTTCCTTTAGGTCTCTTCCATTCATGGTGATTGGAGCTAGTTGTTGTTGTTGGTGGTGGTGTTCGTTGGGAATCTTCATCACCTATGTCTTCTCTACACACACCTGGAGTTCCGTCTTCGCCGCCTCTCCTCTTCTGTCAACTTGTTAGTTTTCACCTGTAGATCTTCGAGTTTGTGTGACACCAGACACAAATCATCGTTGGCGAAATCCAGATCTTCGAGGATATTCTCCTCGTTCCAGCCAGAGTATCCCCCTCTTCTCACTCCTCACTGTTTGTTGCATGATCCAGTCCAGTCGACCACGAACCAGAATATCATGGGTGATAGATGGTAGGCAACCTTGTTTCACTCCTTCCTGTCTTCACTTCAGTGGCATCAGAGAGCTTCCCATTGTGAATTACTCGGCATGTGGCGTCTTCATATAGTTGTTGAATGAGGCGGATAAAGGTTTGTGGCATTGCGTAGTATTGAAGCGGTTTCCAAATTACCTGTCGGTCAACGCCGTCGAAGGCCTTTTCGAAGTCGATGAAGTTGAGGTAGATGTTTGACTGCCATTCTATACTCTGTTCTATGATGATGCGAAGCGTTGCGTTGCAATTTGGTCCACACATGATTTGTACTTCCTGAATCCAGCCAGGCAGCCTGTTCCGGTCGTAAATTTGGATCGAGTGCATCCCTTAGCCTCTCCAGGATGATGCGGATTAATATTTTGCTTGCATGGGGTGGACAGGAGAGTGATTCCGCGCCAGTTCTTGCAAACACTTAGGTCTCCTTTCTTTGGAGGCTTGATTAGGCAACCCTTATTCCAATCAACAGACAGGTATTTTCCTTCCTTCCACACCTTCTGCAATAGTGATGTGGTGTGAGCCTGTCCGTTGTTGTCTCTGCGTCTGCCCTCATTGCTTGTGGCGGGATTCCATCTAGTCCTTCTGCTCTCTTGCATTCTAGTAGCTTCATGGTGTTCAGAACTTCGACTTTAGTTGGAGGATTTATGTTGACTTGTAGTTCTGTGTCTGGGCTCCTGGTGGTGTTTCTGGACGAAGTGCAATTGGTGGTGGTGGTGGTCGATTCAAGTGCTTTTTGGAGTGGTCAGCCTATTGTTTCCTTTGTTTCTCTTCTTTCGTAATTATATTTCCTTCATCATCTCTTATTGGTTTCATCTGCGTTGATCTCTTCCCAAGTAGTAACTTGGTTATTTGATACAATGTTGTCAGGTCTCTCCTACCAGCCTACAGCCTGTTCTGCTTCACTTGCCAGTGTGTCGTGGAAGTGTCTTCTGTCTTTCCGTGAACAGTATCGGAGTAGATTATTGATTCTCCCGTTGACAGTTTGCAGAGTCCACTCCCATTCCATCTGCTTTCTCAGATTCCTAACACTTCTATGCGATGTCTTCTCATCTCGTTTGCAATCTGGGCAGGCTTGCTAGGTTCAAACACACTGCGCAAATTCCATGTTACCATCCTTACTATATCTTTCATCGAGAGAAGATACACTGGCCGGTTGGCTTCCCGAAGGCTTTCATCAACCGGCATCCTTTCGCCTCTCCGATTCCAAAGAGGAATAATATTGTTTTTATTCTTTATATTTCGTTTGTGTTTTGAAGTTTCCTTGGCGGTTGGATTGGTTTTCCGGGGTAGGGTTGCTAGCCCTACGCCCAACCTTCCTTCTTTACCCGAGCTTAGGACGGGCGACTAACTAGTGAACTAGTTGACCAGGCGAGGATATTATTAATATTAGAAGTGGAATTACTATTGATAACATCTGTATGACTACTACTGCTACTACTACTACTACTACTACTACTACTACTATTTCAAATATGTTTCTCCCGACTTCTTATTGAAAGAAATACGTCCAAAACGCCAGCCAGTAAATGAGTCCATTTCACTATTGGACACTTCTAATAAACAGACTTCAATGGAATTACAATCTACCACAATGCCCAAGTTGTACTCCTATATTTGTGAACTGTACCTGTTTTCCATTTTCAGGTCAAAAGTCACTGTTGATGTCCACATTTTGATTGCTTGACGAATTTCATTCGGTTTGTGGGTTGGAGGTTGGGTGACACATGAAATCTTAACTTTGCGAGATCATACATTGTCTCTGTGTCGTTGCCTGATGATGTCATCTAGCGAACTGCTACCAACGGAAATCTGAATCATGCAAGCGGGTGTGTGCAAACATCACACACAAGTAAAGCCACAGATGATTTGTATAAGATGGGAAATTACCCAACTGTACTGATTACGTAGGATGATGTTTCGACTTGACTCTTGTCAGACAAATATTAACAGAATGCTCAGTGATAGCTTCTTTTATTCTCCTGAGAAAAAGCTGTTCTGATTGCCTATCATATTAACTTCTCATTATACTATTTCTCCTCCAGGGAATGATGTTCGCAGCTCAAATCATTCAGGATGACAAGACAATTACGTGTCCACCGGATCAATATATTCTGGCAGCCTTCGGAATCTGGAGTGTTCTTATTGTTATTGAATATGGAGTTGAAGTCGGAGTTGTTACTTTTATTGCAGACTCACAAAATGACGGTATAATCATCGAAAGTCTCCGGGAGTTTATCGTTCTACTGCAGTCCCATTAACTTATGTCGCATCACAAACTAGAACATGAAAGATGAACCTCATGAATGAACCTTGTATTTTTCAAACACACTTTTGATTACTCACCAACTTCCCCTGATTACAATTTATCAATTAATTGCTGAAACCTGTTGTTGCCGTGTTGCGTAATCAAAATAAATATTCTAATCGCAGAAATATAACTTCTCGTGAAGTTTGCAAAGCCGAAAACAAGAATATTGGAAGCAATTAACGACTTCTCGCAAACACTTTCTCAGTGAACTCATCGAAATATTGTCAGTAGGAGGCGTTAACAGAGGTTATTTCGATGGATGTGGGCAGGTAGTTAGTGTGAATGTAGATCGTTATATACACAGGTTGAAAACTACATTGATTAACTTTATTCATGGTGACTCTGTTGGCAGGCGACAGGATAAGTTACCGGTAGACCAAAACTTTGATGATCAAAGAACGTTAACTGCTTATATGTGTTTTGAACACAATGGTAAACTGCAGTCAGTGTGATGGAATTAAATTTCACTTCAGTTTATTAGTCGGATATCTCACACTGCAAAATGACATTGTTTACTGGTAAGATAAATAGTGTTCTTTCCCTTTGTTACATATCTCGCTAATTAACTGAAAGTGGATACGTACGAACATTTGAACTAAACTTCAGATGAAACAGATAGACAAGGTATCGTGTAAAGAAGAAATTCTCTTCGTATTTTGTCCTCTTGGATGACCCATCGCGAACACATGGAAATATGGTTTCGAGGATTCTCAGTATATTTCACCAGTACACGCATGTACACTCTACTCCCTTATGATACAAATGCGATTCATTGACTGTCACTACAATTGTAAACTACAAACTGTGGTGAGTTACGTATTCATTTAGGATGATGCATCCGAATGCGGTTAACAGGTTTTCATAGCCTAACAAAGAATTTTGATTTGTTACGTTGACGACACTTTTGTAATTACTAAAAGAATTGGATAAGGATACACGTTCAACCTCATCAATCCAATCGTTGAACGTATTCAATTCAAAAAGTGAGAGGAAGAAAGCAACGAAATCATGAGAAGTTCTCATGAGTAGAACACACATCGGAAGTGTACAGAAACGTGATGTGAACAGATCATCTTTTGAAATACAACTGTTAAACCCAATGTCTAATAGCGAGAGTCTCGTACAAACACTTCTCATACGTGCCAGGAATCATTGCAGCTTTTAACGGCAACATATGTCGGAAGAGCATCACATTTGCAAAGTGTTTAGAAGTAGCGACCATCCAATCAACCTATCGTTTCATCCAGTCAGTACTAACGTGGTACACAAACCAACCAAATCCCTGCAGAGCGTCTTATGTGAGCTGAAGGATCCATTGTCCAAGGACGACAAGATGAATGTAATGTGCAAAATTAGTTGCAATGACTACATGGGTCTATCCAGTCACCGAATAATCCGAAATAATTATCAGCATCAACCAGCATTTCAACGACGTGAGATCACTATTGATACCGACGAATTTGGGTGAGTGCGCCCGCGACTTCGATTGACATGAAATGAAAATACTGAGACAAACAGGCTGAACAACAAAAATGAATTCTTGGAAGTGTAGTACTTCAATCAAATGGCAGCCGACAAACACGTGGATAAAGACTCAATATACAGAATACTAAGAAGGGACATTCAAGTGGAAATCGGCCAACCAAACCAGTCACTGGGTCGGAAGCATAGGCCAAGTAATAATGACAGGTATAAAGGTCGAACTTTGGATAAATAGGAGGATAAAGATCACCACCCCTCATGCGCAAATAACATTCAAAATTAGCTAGTGTCCTTACTGAACATTCATGCAACTTGAAGATATTTCACTTCATTTTGGAGTAAATACTGATAAATTCATCTAGTCTGGTGATGAAATGTTCCAGAAGAAACCCTAAGTCTTTGAGACCACAAAGCATTTATCATCGTCAATTTCAGCTACAAATATTCGCTACTATCTCAAATCGACCATTAAAAGACGTCGTTGAATTAAGCAACAAAGCTTTTAAATTCGAAACCTCACGGTTGGTCGCCATGTTGGTCGTGGTATATTCTGCAGGCTACGCATATTATGAGCTTCCAAGCTATTATTCTTAGTAAAAGAAACAAAAGATCAGCTTTGCAATGATGTTCCCTCTACAGGTTGATTCAGAAGACTGACATCTGCCGATTAAGCGGTGTGTTTCTTAACTGTGCGATCCATAGATGTATAAGGGAAGTTTGATGCTTCATGAAATAGTCACCCCGGGATGCATCCATTAACACCACAACAACAGCACTCACGCTTTCTATCAGTTTGACATGTGAACAATATCAACGTCCTTATAACGTTGATTGGTGGCAGTCGTCTGCCCGATAAAGCTCTGTTAGCTTCATTTGTGACAACATCCCTCGAATCTGCAATACCACTTCAATTATATCTCCTTAAATTCACGACAAATTCTGCTGAATTCTGCATTAGTTGACCGACAAACAACCTTAGCATACTCTGTATATGTTCCTTGTAAAAGTCTCCTGTTAGAAACTTCAAACTCTTTCTTGCTTTCATCACACCATGAAACGTTTTTAGGGTCTAAGAATGTTTGTAATAGAAAAATAAAAACCAAGTGTGTTTTGAAGCCGAATGTGAAGAACATGAGGATCATTTTGATGGAGTTACAAGTTTTTAGTTAGTTGCTATCGCTTTTGTCCTAGTCATAGACCGTTGTACATGCTCATTCAATGTATTTCCTCTTATTTTATTCGTAGTGATTATAAATGATACTGAAACAGCTGGATAGGTAGGAAGTGGTCAAAACTGAACTGCGAAACGTTTCCGAGGAATGTTACAATAGCCGTAGACAGTAGGAGTGTGATGTTTTATTTGCAGAATAACTCTCATAGGATGAATCTCTATGGCTAGCAGTATATCACATGAACCATTTGATAATCCTTTCACTATACTTCATTGTAAACGTGGTGAATATTGATTCCCAGCTCTCCACTTCACCTCACCAGTCAGCACTCAAACACCTGCATACAATTCACAACCTTGCTCAATATTTCATGAGAACTTTACAAGTCAAACTCGCAACTATTGACTCAGCAATTATGGCAACATTAGTTAGAATTCTGCTCACATTGCCACGTTCATAAAGAAGTACAGAGTTCATTTTCATCATGAATAATGATAAGTGGATAACTTGTTGACAACTTTAATTTTCAATTCTCATTCACTAGGTGAGCAGTAATTTACTGAAACACTTACATAGGAATCCACCAACTTTATTGTCAATGAGAGATATGCCGACACGATGTTCAAGTGTAGAATTATTTCATTTATAATCAAAGTCCACTCTTGAATATTATTAGTGTTTCTCTGAGTCGATTTCTGTAAGTGGTATCATCAGTTTAAAGTTTATTTGGAAGAGGTGGAGAGAATGTAATGGTTTCTAGAAACTTTGTACATCAGTTCAGCACTGATTAAAATCAGTATGATTACTTAAAATGTGTCCTATAGCACTGAGTATTAGACTGTTGTAATCGAATGGTAGTATAAGCTATGCTTCCCCTGACAATAAGTAGATTTGTTTGTTCAACGTTTGAGATGATTTACTCTGGAAAGCATTCATTGTCACAGTTCAGCAGACTGAATAACAATGTAGTGAATATCGATTTCACAGATTACTTATGATTGTCCATTATGTGTCTCCGCTTTGCTCCTGCTGGTGAACGGAGACGTGATGCTGTTAAAAGACAACATGAAGTGTTGCAGTATATTGTCGACAACGAGAATTATACACATATAATGACTGACTGGGATTGTCAACTTAGTGGCGAATGCTCGGTCAGTATCCTATCCAGCTGCTTCAGTATCATTTATAATCACTACGAATAAAATAAGAGGAAATACATTGAATGAGCATGTACAACGGTCTATGACTAGGACAAAAGCGATAGCAACTAACTAAAAACTTGTAACTCCATCAAAATGATCCTCATGTTCTTCACATTCGGCTTCAAAACACACTTGGTTTTTATTTTTCTATTACAAACATTCTTAGACCCTAAAAACGTTTCATGGTGTGATGAAAGCAAGAAAGAGTTTGAAGTTTCTAACAGGAGACTTTTACAAGGAACATATACAGAGTATGCTAAGGTTGTTTGTCGGTCAACTAATGCAGAATTCAGCAGAATTTGTCGTGAATTTAAGGAGATATAATTGAAGTGGTATTGCAGATTCGAGGGATGTTGTCACAAATGAAGCTAACAGAGCTTTATCGGGCAGACGACTGCCACCAATCAACGTTATAAGGACGTTGATATTGTTCACATGTCAAACTGATAGAAAGCGTGAGTGCTGTTGTTGTGGTGTTAATGGATGCATCCCGGGGTGACTATTTCATGAAGCATCAAACTTCCCTTATACATCTATGGATCGCACAGTTAAGAAACACACCGCTTAATCGGCAGATGTCAGTCTTCTGAATCAACCTGTAGAGGGAACATCATTGCAAAGCTGATCTTTTGTTTCTTTTACTAAGAATAATAGCTTGGAAGCTCATAATATGCGTAGCCTGCAGAATATACCACGACCAACATGGCGACCAACCGTGAGGTTTCGAATTTAAAAGCTTTGTTGCTTAATTCAACGACGTCTTTTAATGGTCGATTTGAGATAGTAGCGAATATTTGTAGCTGAAATTGACGATGATAAATGCTTTGTGGTCTCAAAGACTTAGGGTTTCTTCTGGAACATTTCATCACCAGACTAGATGAATTTATCAGTATTTACTCCAAAATGAAGTGAA